ACCGCGGCCGTGCTCGGGCCGCCGCCCGCCCTCAGCGCCGGTGTCCGGGCCGGCCGGCTCTGCCACCGCGGCTGCTCGGGCCGCCGCCCGCCCTCAGGCGCCGGTGTCCGGGCCGGCCGGCTCTGCCGCCGCGGCCGTGCTCGGGCCGCCGCCCGCCCTCACGCGCCAGTGTCCGGGCCGGCCGGCTCTGCCGCCGCCTGCCCTCACGCGCCGTGTCCGGACCGGCCGGCCCCGCCGTCGCGGCCGTGCTCGGCCGCCCCGGCGCCTCCCCGGCCCCGCGGCTCTGCCGCCGCGCCGTGCCGCCGCCGCCCGCCCTCACGCGCCGGCCCGCATCGCCGCAGGTGTCCTCTCCCTGCTGGCGCTCGGCTGCATACAGATCAGCGCGGCACGAAAGTCGCACCGGCACACATTCGGCTCCATGATTCGGCAGTACGTGGCGCAGAAGGCCCTGCGCCTGGCCGCCCGCTACATGCGACGCAGGTTCGACAACGACACCAAACGGTTCATGCAGGTGAGAGCGTGGCGGCTCACAACGGCCTCGTCCGCAGTGCACATCACTTGACTGATATTAAACCCTTCTCAGGACGCAGTAAAATATGCGACTGAAATAATGAAAACACGATACGACAAAGCATTAGTCATACAAAACTGTCATATCTCCGTGATGTAACAAAACTTCGTTCGCAGTGTCCGATGGTCTGTCTGTAGTGTCATGAGGAGACGCTGCGGTGTCCGGTGGTCTGCCCGCAGTGTCAGGAGACGCCGTAGTGTCCCGTGGTCTGTCCGCAGTGTCAGGAGGAGACGCTGATGGAGCGTGTGAAGGCCAGCCGGGACACGCCGTACGGCCGCGACCACGGCTTCGCCGACATCCACAACCTAGCGGAGTTCCGCGTCGCCCACCCGCCGACTGAGTACGCCCACTACGCCGACTACGTTCAGCGGCTGGCGGACGGCGAGCCCAACGTCCTCTTCACGGACAAGCTGCGCTCGCTGGCCTGCACTTCGGGCACCTCGGGCGGCAGCAAGCTGATGCCGGTCAGTCAGGGCCTGGTGCTCAACCTGGTGGGCGGCGTGCTGGTGCTGTGGGAGCGGCAGCTGGCCGCCTTCCCGGGCGCCGGCCGGCTGCAGCGCCAGATGCGGCCGTTCGTGGCCCCGCGCTGGCGCTACTCGAGCGGGGGTCTGCCGATCGGGCCCGCCTCGGTGGCGCCACCCGGCCAGCGCGACGGCCGCGAGCACACGCAGTTTCTGTACAGCGCGCCGCCCGAGGTTAACCAGATCGGCTCAGAGGCGGACGCCGTGTACGTGCACCTGCTGTTCGGCCTGCTGGACCAGCAGCTGGGCGCCATCGAGGCCAACTTCGCGTCGTTCGTGTACGCCGTGTTCGCGGCGCTGGAGCGCGACTGGCCGCGGCTGGTGCGCGACATCGATGCCGGCCGGCTCGGCGCCGACGTGCGCGTGCCGGCGGCCGTGCGCGCCGCCTGCGACGCGGCGCTGCGGCCGGACCCGGCGCGCGCCGCCGAGCTGCGCCGCGTGTTCGGCGCCGGCTTCGCCGACGTGGCGCGCCGCGTCTGGCCGCACCTCAACTTCATCACGACCGTGACGTCGGGCTCGCTGCGGCTGTACGAGCGGCGGCTGCGGCAGCGCTACACGGGCGAGGTGCCCATCTACAGCGCGCTCTACGCCGCCACCGAGGGCCTGCTCGGGGTCAACCTCTGGCCGGAGCGGCAGCCGCCCGGCTACGTGCTGCACCCGCGCGCCATGCTGTTCGAGTTTGTGGAGACGAGCGGCGACGGCCGGCCGCTGCTGGCCTCCGAGCTGCGGCCGGGTGGCGAGTACGAGCTGCTCGTCACCACCAGGGCCGGCTTCTACCGCTTCCGCATCGGAGACGTCGTCCGGGTGGCCTCGTTCTACAACGGCGCGCCTGTGGTCGAGTTTCTGTACAGGTACCGGACAGCTGTCCTGTTGCTCCGCATCAGTAGACGGAGGGTAGTGCGCCGCACGCATGGCTGTGTGGCCAGCAGCCCGTCTTGGGCACAGCATTGGCGACATACGCAATGCATCATGTTAAGTGGTTGACTGCTGGTTGGTCGCGATGTCCATATCTTACCGTTCACGTGGCTGCATGCCAGCAAAGACCGAATATCAGTGCTGAACGACCGGTCTGATCTGTCACCAATCCTTGACAAATCAGATTTGAGAGCGCACATCGACACGGTGTTTGGGCGCGCCTCTGAAGTATCGCACCCGACTCCTCTCTGCTCGTGCGCCAGGAAAGGCCAGTTGCTGGATGTGCACTCGGAGAAGATGTCGGAGGAGGCCCTGTACGCGGCGCTGCGGGCGGCGGCCGCCGGCTGGCGCGCCGCCCTCGTCGACTACACGACGGCCGAGAGCGTGCTGCTGCCGGCGTCGGCCGCCGGGCCGCCCCACTACCTGGTCTTCCTCGAGCTGGACGGGCCGGCGCTGTCGGAGGCCGAGGCGCGACAGGTGGGCGGCGCAGTGTTGCTCTCGTTCGTGGCTGGCTCGTGCGGCGCCGCCGGCTCCAGGCGTGCGCCGCCCTCAGCGGTCCCATCACGCCGCGTCGTGCTGTCCCAATCCTCCCCGTCGGCGAGCGAGCGTCCGGCGGTCGCTAGGCCGTCGAGTACGACTGTGCTGGGAAACACAGATCCCCCTGGAGCGGGGGGACTTGCCACCACCCCTGGGCCGGGGCGGTGGGCTCCGCCTCGGCCCCACAGCCGCGACCCGCCCGTCGGACCGTCGCGAGCCTGCCGCCGCCCTCTCTGACCGCCCTCTCGCTCCGGCAGCTGGACGACGCCCTGTGTGAGCGGCACGAGGTGTACCGCTCGTTCCGCACGAAGGGCGCCATCGGGCCGGCGCGGCCCGTCTGCCTGCGGCCGGGCGCCTTCGAGCGGCTGCGCCAGCACGTGCTGGCCGGTTCCGACACCAGCCCGCTGCAGTTCAAGGTGCCGCGCGTGCTGCGCGACGAGCGGCTGGTGCAGTTGCTGCTGCGGCAGGCTGAGGGCGGCGCCGGACCCGGACTGGATGCCGTGGACTACGACGGACCGGCCATCAAAGTTTAGACCCGATCGGCCGGCGCGTTGGCCCCGCACCGCGGTGCAGTGGACGAGAGCCGGCAGCGCGCCAGCCCGGCGCCCAGCGCCCAGCAGCCCAGCGCCAGGCATTGCCGGCGCTGGGGCGGCGAGTGACCGATGAATAGCCGCCAGCCAGCGGACGGTTTGAGACGCGCGGTGTCGCCCTGGCACGGCGGCTACTCCCGCGAGGGGTGCCGCCTGAATGATGACGGTGTCAAGCTCAGGGGATGATGTGAATACATGTGTATCATCCGCGCTGGCGACAGTCATCTGGGGTCAGAGCCTCGCCTTGTCGCAGCAGCACCCTCCCTTCGGCGTTCGGGTTATCGGTGTTGTAATTGCAGTCAGGATGGTTGCAATCGACCTGACAGTGGCATGTTTGGATGCATGCTGTTATCACATTGAAGTAACAAGCACGCAACCCCCCGAGGCATTTCTCTACGAAATCGTTTAGCCGACATTTATACACGCTGACAGCCGCAGTAGTGCGCTTAAGCCTCTACGGTTCAATCCTCGCCATGCCGGAAATATTTGCATGCGCGCGGTAGGCGGAGAGATACACAATGCCCGTCGGTATTTGGCCGCTAAGTAAAAGCCAGGAAAGAAAAACTAGACGACGGCTTGATATTTCACGCATTCGTGATATTCGGTTTTCTCTCTAGGACAAGCGAATGTTTCACATATTGCCAATGAAACACATGGGAACGGCACGCCAAGCACTGTCCTGCCGCAGCAAACACGAAACCTGGAGGTGGACTGCACAAATTCGCGACCTTGATTAAAAGTGACACGAAACAATTGTCTAGGGTCCATCTAAGGTTAACTTCATCATACATCAGCGACCGTGTTTGACCTTGACAACACAACTGGCCTAACTGGGGCGATGCCTGCTCAAAGCTTGTTTTTACCGATTAGCACACCGATTGCACAATTATGCATACCAACTAGTTACCGCGAAACAATAAAACAATTTACAACAATAAAACAATATCTTAGACCTATACAGCCCAACGTGATTTCAGGCATGACGCCCTGCTTAAAAATAGACTATTCGTGGCCTAAATCAAAACGGTAGCTCAAAATGCGCACTGAGAGTGTCACTAGCTGTGTCAAGTATAACGAGGCACCGTTCACAGGTTTCCGTGGCCCAGGCTGGCAAGGTGGGAGCCGTCGCGCGGTGAGAGTCATGTGTTCCCGGGGGATCGAGGGATCCTCGCCGTGCAGGTGAGGGATCAGCAGGTGTACGGCCGACCCCGCCATTATATAACCTGTCAGCTATGGAATGTAATTTACGCGGTCAGGGATTACGTTCGCCATAGCTTAGTCCGGGTTCGTGCAAAACTTATATAAACTGGCCATGTAAAGATAGTATCTTAGCTGGCTTAGACAGAATCTGATGACTCCGCAAGTATTTTGTTGTGCGGCTCGGATTGCGATGCGATTCGGAATCCTTACCGACACATCCCGCTGAGATTCCAATCATTCCTTCTGAAGAACGTGGAATTGTAATTACTCCAACTAACGTGAGATTGTCATTACTTCTATCGATTCACACCACCTCACATTACACTTCACATCGCACTTCACATCACCCTACACCACACCTCACCTCACTTAACATTACCTCGCATCCCATCACAACCACATAAAGCCATTTCTCTCGCAGCAACCCAACTAACCCCGCCATCGCTCGAGGCAAACAGCTCCGGCTGCGGGAGTGGGGGGGGGGGGGGGGGGCACCGACAGCCGCTGCCCGGTCTGACCTGCGTGAGCCGGCTGAAGAGCGTGACGCGGTGCAGCTGGTACTCAATGTCGGCCTCTCGGATCACCAGCGGCAGCCGGGCCGTGTCGCACAGCTCCATCTGGCTCTGGCTGTGCAGCATGGGGCCCGACCTGCGCCACAGGCCCGGTCAGCGC